TGTGTCCGGCTCCGAGGACGAAGAGCAGTATGAAGCTGCAATTGGCAACGAACGTCTTCTCAAGAGTCTCGTGTCCCCCGAAACCGACACGTACTTTGTTTCCAACCTGCTGGCGAAGTACCAGTCAGCAGGCAAGTCGACTGCAGTCCTCTCACTCCGTCAAGTACACCCTCCGTCCACCGAATCATCCAAGTTCATACCTGCCATTATCTTCGCCACATCAGACACGATTCGTCCAGAAGCTGTCGATGTAATCTCTCAGCTTCAAAAGCGTCACGTCGATGTCTTCATGTGCACTGGCGATAACCAAACCACCGCCCATGCCGTCGCGGACATGCTAGGCATCCCCCGCTCCAAAGTGATGGCCAACGTCTTGCCAGCGGAGAAAGCCAGCTTTGTTCGTCAGATTCAAGAACGTTCGCCGAATACAACACCAGCCGATGGTGAGAGCACACCCAGTTCAAGCACATCACGTCCCATTGTCGCCTTCGTCGGCGACGGAGTGAACGACTCGCCCGCTTTGGCAGCAGCAGACGTGAGCATCGCCATGGCATCTGGCTCCGATGTTGCTATCAACTCTGCCAGCTTCATCCTCCTTAACTCAGATCTCAGCACTATTTTGCAGCTGGTCCTGCTCAGTCGCCGTGTGTTCAATCGGGTCCGTATGAACTTCGGCTGGGCGGTCATCTACAACCTCTGTTTGGTTCCGGTTGCTGCTGGTGTACTCTATCCTATTGTGAGTGGCCATCATGAGAAGATTATTGATGGTGAGATGATCATGGTCAATGAGCACTGGAGACTGAGTCCGGTGTGGGCTGCTCTGGCTATGGCACTGAGCAGTATTTCTGTTGTGCTAAGTAGCTTGGCTTTGAGGGTTGACAAAGAAAGTATCATGAAGATTGTGAGAAGGAAGGAGTAGACATTATTGTATTCATTTATTTCGTTTTAGCGTTATGTTTCTACCTAATACATGTGAATGAACTCGGTACTCAAGACTTTTTCCAAGTAGCCTCGATAGAGACCTTCCTATAACAAATTCGCCTCACCCCAAACTTAACCCCAAACTTCCGCAATGCGCTTGCTGAGATCTTTAGCAACTTTCTTCCGCCTACAACTTCTGACATCCTAGTCGCTATCATAGTCTCTCGCTCCTTAGGTTCCAAAGCCATGTACGCATCCACCAAATGCCGTGGCGTTGGCCAGATCTGTTGGATCTCAAGGGCTTTTTCACCCGTCACGCCACGGGTACACATAAGCATTTTGAGGAATACATCTCGAAGAGTAAGAACGTCGGACTTGGAGGTCAGTGCGGAGAAAGTCACGAACGAGACACCGTACGTGATGGACGGGTCCCGAGAGCGGAGATTTTCGAGGATGGTGAGGTAGGAGTCAGTGGAGAGACGGCGGCCGGGGATGAGGCCAATTTTGGATACTGGAGATGGAGTAACCGTGCTACGGTTGATATTTCTATCAGCATCTCCGGTGGAGGGCGCATCTTCGACGCCGTACATCTTCCGCAGGAGCAGAGTCATGCGCGCCAGGTACCGGATTGACTCGTCTAGATGTTTCGTCTTTTTGATAAAATATTGATTAACAACCTGTGTCGAGGCGATGGCTGACGCAACCATCTCCTGGTATTGCGCCGCACTTCCGCTAATCGAGTCAGGATGCGTGACTGCAAACTCTTCGATCAGGTAAATGACGTTCTTGATGCCGGAGCGACGGAGCCGGAACTTCTGCTCGTGGAAGCGGCCGTCTTTAATAGACCCGATCAGATCGTCCAGACGCTTTCGCTCAACGATCCAGTCTAGCATCACCTCGTCACCTTCTTCGCCGTGTCTTGTGAGGAAATTTGGGTCATGACATTTGGCTACCCACATTGCGTCGCCGACTTCCAGGGCGCGCACTTGCGGCGTGATTCCTTGCTCCATAAGCTCGCCGGAGATGTATTCGCGGTCGGTGGAGGTGCGGACTTCTCGGGTGTCTAATACGAGCTGGATGGTAAAGCTCTTGGGCGGGAAGAAGATGGGCTCGATGTTGGCTATATCCTGTTCGGACAGATTTTCTTGAACATCCGCTGATGGATCGTCCTCTTGTTGCAGTGAGTCAAGTTCAGGTGTCAACGCTCCTTGCTGCGACTCAGTCGTTGTAGTAGCTTGGGAGCCAGATGTGGCGGGTTGAGTAGCGCCAGGTAATGTCTTTTGGAGACGTTTGGCTACCTCCCAGCCTTCTTCGGAAAGAAGATACTTCCGAAGAGGGCGTCCATGCTCATATACTAGGTCTTTCTGGATGAGAGTTTTCATTGAATTCCACGCGGTGTAGAACTTGGTCGGGTCCGGGGGTGCCGTGAACGAACTGTCGCAGTATGGCTGGGCCACCTCGATCAGTTGAGCCTTCGTCATCCCCTGGGATGCGTTCTCATCTTGGGTTCCCAAGCCCAACATCAGTGCATATGGACCAGATCGTAATGTTGGTACATACGGCTTGGCTTTCCGGGGCTTCTTCGCCGGTTGATCGACGCCGCCTTCAGATGTTCTCTTTTCACCTATTTAACATAGTTGAGCTCGGTGTCCAGGGGCCGGGGTGTAATAGATCCAACGAACCTTTTTCAGGCGGTTCCGGCATTGGAAGCCCATTTTCTTGACAATGGGCCTTTAATTTATCAGTCAAGCGATCACACAATTTAGGACCCAGTCCGTTCAATTGTTGTGCTTGGGATGGATGTTGGAATTCTAAGGGACAGGCTTTCATTGACTCATAGGCCTTCTTGTATCTGCAAGCTGTCAGGCATAGCCTCTCCCAAGGGCGCCAAGAGATACATACACGGTCACGCCTTTGCTGTTTCGTTCTCGAGCTTGATCCAGCCATTCTTTGATCCACCCCAGTAGTAGGGGATTTGCACACTCCTCGCTCATGGCGAGTCGAGTGTCCAGCGACGGAGTGGCAGATCAATAAGAGCGAATTATCATCCAGGCGAGTCTCGCCGATTGGACGCGAAGTGATGTTGCCTGTTTAGGAACGCGCCTGGCACGTGATGATAAAGATATATATAACTAGGAATAGTTGATGCCTCGGAAATCTGGCCGATATACCAAGTCGTCTCGAGTTGATGCCGACGTCAACCTTACCACCTGCTCCAAGTAAACTTTGGTCAGACCCTCGAGAACAGAGACTTTTTGCACTTTCAACCAGCAAACTTTCCCGAGAACTTCCACGCAGCTCGTCCCCAAATCGGGTACAACGGTATAAATAGCGTATGAGGGTGCCACATACATGTAGTTATTGACGCAAATGAAAACATATGTATCGAAGGTTTATGGTATAGACAAACTGAGACCAGTACATATACTAGGGCTACCTACATAGGTAACTGAGCATTCTGATACATTAACCTTGGAACAACCTTGGGACCTTGGAAACCTCGTTTAGGACATCGGGTCCGTAGACTAAAACGGTACACATCCCAATCCTCTAAAAGTCTTTCATATCTCTACATAACATATCCAACATTTCAGATCATTCAAATCATATACATCATCTAAACTTCAAATGACCAAACTACACACCATCGGCCGTGGCGCCTGCGGCACTGTATGGGCATCCGAAACAGGACCCGCCTACAAAAGGGAGGATGGTAACCCAGCACGATCCCTCCAAAACGATTTCGAAATGCACAACCGAGTACTTCAAAGTCGACAAACCCTCATGACTCTGAGAAGATCCACTCAGGTCCAAATTCAGATACCATCCTGTCACAACTTTATCGAGCCAGGGAACAAGGAGTGGTGGGCTACAAATCTAGAAAGGTTTCCACAAGGCCATACACCATGCAATATGATCGAAGCACAACGCATTCCACCGTTTGGAGAACCAACCCGACACCTTCTTATTCAAACATTCTGCCCGGATGAGATCAAGCAAAAGATTATCAATAGTGAGCCGGATCGAGACTGCTTAATTCGACTATATTTAGGCAGGCGCCGAACACATACCCGGGATTCCCAAACCTTCTCACGGTTCAAGGCATTCTCTCTGCGAAATTACCCGCTACATGAAGACCAACTAGAGGAGCTGTCGATTACAGCGGACGATCTTCATCAATATGCCCGCATAATGGCAGAAGCACTCGCTATGTTGCACTGGATTGCTGGCATAGATGCCAATGATGTTGAGTTCGTCCTAGCACCCTGCAATGGCAACGATGGCACTACCATCAACAATGTCTTGGGAAGACATAGCATGTGGATGCTAGACTTTGATCTATGCAGGAATATGCCAATGGATGAGAATGGTGTTGGAAAAGCCGTGAAGGCCTTCTGGCGAAACGATCCCTTCTATCCTCGTCCGGGAAAAGCCTTATGGCACACATTCCGAGAGCAATACATTAGTACCAGTGATGAGTGCCTGGACCTTTGTGACGTTCAAGAAAGGGTAAAGCAACGATTTCTATCGCGGCTATTTATTGAACAAGTGGAAGCCTGGGACACCAAAGTCAAGTCTTAAAGTCCAAAAGTCCGTGCCAGGAGCTTGAATGTCCGGTTCTTTCCTCGATATTTTTCTTATGTTGACTTTCTCACAACTCGGAGCACCTCAACTTGTTCGCTCAATCATCTGGTTTCCAATATGGACCTTTTCACCTTTGAGCACAACACAACATTGCTCCCAGTTTCCGCAAACGAACTATGTGACTATGTCTCCTTAATTTTGATGCATGCAGTTCGATTACGATGAATAGTGCAGGTGTGCGACAAGCAGTCAAGGCCTTTTTTGACACAGCTCCTTGTTGTCTACGCCCATCTTCTGGGATACCGTGAGAACTTATGGGATGTCCTTTCAAGCAGTATTTTTCAACAGGTCAAAAGATCTCTTCGGGCACAGCATTTGAAAAGCTACGTGCTACCTGCTCGGTTCATTCAAGGGTGTCCTTGATCGTTCAGCTCGTTAGTTACATGTACCTATGTATGTAGATAGCCATATCAATACATCCCAATACCAGATCACTAAAACATCCCATCCTATGCACAAACAAGTCCACGTTAGTACATATAATTTTCTTCATGGGACAGTTATCCAGAACAGAACTCACATCTTCCAGCTCGGCCTCTAAGATAGTCTCCACCATCTTACCAATCGCTGCTCCGCGCTCTTCTTTGGTCAAACAGCCAATCTTAACGAGCTCAGTCAAAGCCTCTCCCACCCAGTTCTGGCAGTTCCAATCTCGATCGCTATTGCCATTGCGCACCGACGTGCAAGCACAAGCAAAAATAATCTTCGCCTTGGTGACAGAGTCCGGCACTGTACACACTGGGATCCAAGCTATTGGTGGCTCCGACATGGGGTTCTCGCTGTCTTTTTGGAACTTAAAGAAAGGATGTGCGCCGACAGCGTGAAGCCAATCGTGTTGGCCGTCGGAGTAGAGGGCGTGTAGCGCTGTATGTCGGTATTTGGAGAAGTCTACTGGCACGCCCTTGTACACGAGAAGGGATATTTGTGTTGGCATTTTGGAACGGTTTATTACTTTGAATGAGAGATCGTAGAATATGTCCACGGGTCACCCAAGGCGCTTTTCCGATGAACAACCCAAAAGGTTGAAGGGAGGTGGGTTGGTTCACAAGGAAAATCGGGCGGTGCCCAGGTGGTGATTTGGGCTGACAACTCCGCTTGGACAATCCTGGTCTATATCAGAAACCAACTATGCTGCTTTGGTAAAATTAGAAAATAGTTTAGAATCAACTAATAAAGGTATCATTGTAATAAAGGTATCATTGAAGTTTCTATAATTGAGATAATAATTATTGTGACAATGACTGTTTATAATCCCGCACGGTCTGCTCAAAAGACTCGTCGCGTTTGAAGCCCAAAGAGATGGCTTGAGTATTATCAAACTGCGTCGGCCATGACTTTAGAATTGGAACCAGCGCAGGGTCCTCTTTCTCTGTAAGAAGAGCTAGTTTATCGGCGCCGCCCACTGCTTCCAATGCATCCATCATGCCCTGGACTGTGACGCAGATCCCAGGCACATTAATCTGGCGAATGTGCGGGGAACAGAGTCGGCAGGAAGACGGAGAGCGAGAAGAAGATTTTCCACGAGGGTTTTGGGTGAGCATAGCCACGACTTGAACTGTCGGTCTTCAATGGGAATCACACATTTCTTGCCATCGAGGGGCTCCCGGATCATGCCGGAGAGGAAGGATGAAGCTGCTGCAGTAGGCGCACCCGGTCGGACGGAGATGGTAGGGAATCGCAGGGTGAAGCCGGTAATAAAATTGCGCCGAGTATATTCGTTCATCAGCGTTTCGCACACGATCTTTTCGGCGCCGTAGGAGGACTCCGGAGTCGGGATCACGCTGTCGGTTACAATTTCTGGCAACGGTTGGCCGTATACGGCCTGACTAGACGAATAGATGACTCGCACTCCAGGCAGGTGTGTCTGAGGGCCTCCAGCAGGTTTCGGGTTGCATCGATGTTGACGCTCATACCCAGATCGAAGTTGGCTTCGGAGCCGGATGACATGATGCCATGGAAGGCATAGACGGCGTCTAACGAAGGATCGACAACGTCCCTGGCTCCTGTCAAGAGATCGGCCTTGATTGCGGTTGCAGATTGGGGATAGCGAACACCCGCGGGAATCGGGGGTTGATGTATATCGGTCAGTGTGACGCGATAGGCTGGGTCATTCAACAGCTCTTTCGCAAGCAATTGGCCGATGAAACCGGCTGCGCCAGTGATGAGGACATGCATTTTCTCGAGAATAGTGCAAAAACAGGGGATATGGGAGGGAAATGTATGCCAATATGTAATTTTAGCTTTCTCTCCGCATTCGCAACAAGTCCGAGGCGATCTTTAGCTGGTCCTCCGCACCGGACTTGGCCCGGCACAGCACAGTTTCCAAGTGGATCTGCTGTGGAACTGCCGTGCGCGAATCGCCCTGAAGTTTGGCCTTTCAGGGCCCTCTTTTGCTCCAGGGGCTCAATTGGGGTCTCTTGGACCTTGGGGGAATGCTTCAATTGTCCACAAGTACGGTGGGTGACCTGTCAGTTGAAGTCAAAGACATAGACTATACTAAACTCTGTTGGAGAATATTCAATTGTTCAAACCCCCATCAAAGCATAATCTTGAAACCCCAACAACATTTCGATATTGTATACGGCGTACGGAGTAGAATACTAGGCGTGGATGTCGGCGAAGTCGAGTCCGCGGGGGGTCCAAGTCACACAACTTGTTTTTGTTTCTCTTCCTTTCTCTTGATACTACATTACCCCCATTGGCCATAACATCCCTCTTGGAATATAACAATTTATCTTTAGCTCCTCGGCACACTCGTGAGCTCGCTTTACTCCGATTCAACCCCACTCCGAAGATTTCGCCCCCTAACCTGTATGCCGGAGTATCACCGACTCCCACTATTCTCCCCGACTAGCATCGCATCATGGATACGACTCCACTGAAACGGTCTCCTGATGACGCTGGCTTCGGGTCACCCCGAGAGAACAAAGCACGTTCTGTCCCCAAGATCTCCAAAGCTCGTGCATGTGAGTCTTCCCCACATCATCTCCAATGCCCCAGTTAACGGGAGCAGGCGCAGAATGCAAGCGCCATAAGATTCGCTGTGAGTTTCGAACAGGAGAATCAACCTGCACAAAATGTGCTCGCAGCGGTATCAAGTGCGTCGTAAACGATTTTTCACAGAAATTCGTTGATGATGATGTGATGTACGTTCTGACCCCGCCCGGCCCTTTGGCGGGCTTTGGAGCTATCAGGGGCTGCGCTAATCTAATGGCTCTGGTATAGATGGAAATCACAGGCCAATGCGACTATGAACCAGCTGCAGGCGGCTGTTTCGCATCTATTGCGACAAGCCGGACTGCCTGAGCTCTCAACCTATGCTCCCGGGGACACTCTCAATGGCCCTAGTCCTGCCGCGTCGTATCATGGCCACCATCCCTCCGTCGATCGGTCGCAGACACAAACCAGTCGTCAGGAGGGACTGGGAGTAGTGATGGATGTTACGCGGGAGCCATCGCCGGAGCAGGATCTCCAAGACCCAGAATTAGTCCCTGCCCCTATGCGCAGTCTATACGAGGTCACTAAGTTACGGAACTTGAGGAATAATCATGTCGAGGCACCGAAACAGACGTTGTTAGAGGAAGATTTTATCTCGCGGCGATTGATCTCCCTCCATGAAGCGGAGGAATTATTCGCGTACTTCAGTCGCACTATGAACCAGCTACTGTGGGGTGGAATAATTCTTGTACACCGCGATTTAACGTCCGTCCGTCGCGCATCGACGCTTCTTTCTGCTGCGGTTTTGACTGTCGCGGCACTCCATATTCCGAACCGCACCGAAACCTTGAACCGGTGCTACAGCGAGTATGTATCGCTCGTATCAAACATGGCCCTCACGCGGGCCCACACTCTGGATGATATCCGAGGCCTCTGTGTGGGGGCGTTCTGGCTATCAGAGTTGAGTTGGAAGTTGTCCGGGCATGCGGTACGAATTGCGACCGAGATGGGTCTTCATCAAAGTTATCAGCGCCTGACCCGTGGACACACGGATCAGTATGAACGCGCCCAGCTCTGGTATCTGCTTTATGTGTGCGACCATCACTTCAGTATTGCTTATGGGCGGCCCCCTGTCATCCACGAGGATGTGGTGATCCGCAACTATGAGACCTTCCTCGCGCTGCCGATGGTCGTCCCCGGAGACATTCGACTTTTAGCTCAAGTTGCTCTCTTTATGATTTTGACTGAGGCATATCGAATGTTTGGTAGCGACACTGAACAAGCATTGACCGACGAGGATTTTGGACAGTTGCGCGTATACAATGTCGCAGTAGACCAATGGCGACTTCTCTGGCAGCCTCGATCTGGTGAGTGATTTCTCGACATAATTCTCGGCAACTCTCGGTTCTAACATACCTTGGAACGCATTACAGCCGATAGCGCCTATGTGCGAACATATCCATCCAAAGGGGTGGTTCTGCACTATCATTTCGCGAAGTTCCAGCTGAACTCGCTTGCTCTTCGTGCGCTCTCACCATCCAACACTCCTGTCTTCTCTATGGACCGCAAGGAATCGGCCAACATCGCAATTTCTTCTGCGATGGCATGTCTCAATATGGTTCTTGAGGAGCCTGATATCCGGGATGCGATCGTCGGTGTTCCGATCTTCACCCATACTATGGTTACATTCTCCGCTGTTTTCCTACTCAAGGTCGCAATCAATTGGAACACAGCTTACCTTAGCATCAATTCTCGCCAAGTGCGACGACTAGTTGAGCGCGTTATTGAATTGATGAACTGTGTCTCTGCAGGCGAGCGACATCTTACTCGACATATCGCACGTGGATTAGGCAAGATGCTGGAGCGCTTTGACTCTTGGGAGGCTGTCTGGCAATTCCAAGGAAGCAATGATACTGCGGTGGAAGGTCGCGATGTCCCTGGGGGAGCGAACGCCATGGCACAAGGATTCCCTCCGCCAGATCTGATTTATGGCATGGTCGGCACATACGGATTTGGCCTTGATGAGAATCTGCTAGATCCGAGTATGGCAGATTTTGATTTTCTAGCACAATGACAATAAAGATCCCCAAAAAGGTCTCGACCCAAAGGGATATTAAGGATACCAATGATATCAACTGAAACATTTGGATACCAAGAATGTAAATAAGGATCTACTCTGTACATCTGTACGAATGGCGACACGCACTATTGACATGGCCCACGCACCACGGAGTGTAAGCTATCACCTTCCAAGGTTAACCCTAAGGTCCTGTCACTCCCATGTCGTCACCGTCACTGCCCTTGGCTTCCCCCTTCGTAGTTGACTTTCCTCTTATAATTCCCGCCCCCCTACGGACTTTTGCCCAAACCTTCTTCCTTCTCTCCCATAATTTCACCCTTACCCTTCCCTCTATACTTAGTTAATTCCCAACCCATAATTCTCTACTATGACTACCCGCAAGAGAAAGGCCGAGGCCGAGGAGGAGCTCCAGGCCCTTCCTAGCGATGAGAGCGAAGAAGAGGAAGAGTGAGTTCCATCCCGTGAATTCTCCCTTTCTTCCCATTCATGCGCCAATGCCCTGTGCATCATTCCTCTGCAATTCTACGCAGCTGTACTAGCTGCTCACGCATCACGACGTGGTCGCGGAGCCCCTGCGAACTGAAACAAATTACGCGAAACCTCTCAAACACGAATGATCTTTGCTAACCCGATCGCGCGGTGAATTAGATATGAAGACTCTGAGCCCGAAGTAGAGGAAGGAAGCGAGGAGAGCGAACAGGAGGAAGTGGAGGGAGAGTCGGAGTCCGAGGAAGAGGAGGAAGGAGAAGAACAAGCGGAAGAAAAACCTAAAGCAGAAGCCAAAGATAAAGAAGGTATGTTCTGTCATTATCCTTTAATCCCTTACGGATATCTTCTTCGTCCCCAAACTCGCTCACGCTAACACACACCCCTCTCCAGGCGCTCCGGCAGCCAAGAAGCAGAAGACTGCGCCCACTGACGAGGGTGCCGAGGCCAAGAACGGCGCAAAGGGCGAAAAAGACGAGGAGCCAGAGGAGCCTGAGGAGCCTGAGGAGCCTGAGGAGCCTGAGGAGCCTGAGGAGCCTGAGGAGGAAGAAGGCGGGGAAGAAAGTGCCGCTGATACCGCCAAGGAGAGTGGACCAGCTGCCGCTGCTGCTCGGGCTAAGGGTGGTGATGTCCCTAAGGAGTCGGATCTGCCTGAGGCTGAGACGGCTAAAGAAGAGAAGTGATTTTGCGATGGAGGATTTGGTTTCCTTTGAGGCGAGAATTTTATATTGAACTAAAATGGAATTCGCCCTTGGGTGATTGGATTGCTTTGCTGCGGTGGCTTCCTGTATACAACCAGAGGCGCTAGGAATGTAGAGTGCTGTGGTGTGGTAGTGAGCTCTCGTCTCTATAGATCCAGAGATATCAAACTAGTCTGGAAGTAGCCAATCCTCGCTATGATCTGGGGACCTGGAGATGACGTGCATATAAATCGCCGTTGGAGGTCATCTACTGGCTGAGTCCTATGTTTCTCTCCACTGTGGATTTCGATGCATATACTAGCGTTGGGTAGAAGTCGAGGCCTAAATGGTACTCCGTAGAGATCCACCTATCATATTGAATGGGACACGCGACCAGATACGGAATATGGAAAATATATACCATCTAAGAAAACTACCTAATAATGGGACCAAGAGAAAGTGCAAAAAAAAAGAGGTGTCATCAAGGATGGTCATTAGCCCTGCCTACGCCCCGTTTTCTATCTTGATATCCAGGGGAAGACATAAAACCGTCTTCCAACTCAGTTTGTGTCTGATCATCACCAACATATTTAAGTGTCACTACCACTGCTGCGGAAGGTGGCGCATAGTTGACAGTACTGGTGTGTGAGATCGAGGACGGGTTGAGGGAGGTTTGTCGCTTGGACAATGCTGCGGACCTTGACAGCACCCTCATCCTCGATTAGCTTGCGAACCAGGAACAAGAGCTCAGGTGAAAACTGATGGTTTGTTAGTTATAATGGTCAAAGCGACATTAGCCAGGGAAAAGAGCATACCTCGGAGTACCAGCGATATTGCCAGGCGATGAGGCGGATCAATGCGCCGAGCATGCCTCTGGTGTCATTTCGCTGTTCGTACAACTTCAACACCCCACGCATAGCCTTGGGCGAAAACCGAGTGGCTAGACAGCTCTGGTATGCCTCAATGCTTTCGTCGAAATGGTGCAGCCGCTGAGCGAGCTCACCAAGAATTTCCCACTCGGTGGCGGATTTCTTGTATTCCATGGCTTGTTGACGGAACTGGGCCATTTCGGTCCGCCAGATGGTGTAGATGCGCAGATCCTCGTAAAGTACCATGAACAAGTTATCCAGCCACCTTTCGCACAGTCGCTTATTTCGGAATTGCGTGTATGAGGCGTGAGATGGGTCGGGCTGTGACACAAAAAGTTAGCATATATAACGAAGTACGTCCTGATGGGTGTGCAACATACATCTTCCTTGCCAGACTTGACAACTTCGGATGCTACTGTTTGCTCCGGCCGCTCGAGGGGGCTTTCCGTGTGGTTCTCTCCAACATCTCCATTGGCAGTTTCTTCCGACGACGGCTCGGTCGGGCCAGGGCCAGGCACAGAGCCAGAGTCATCTTCGTGGCCGGGGCTGTTGCCGTTGGTCTCCGCCCCCATTGATGTTGCGGGCTTAGGAACATGCTGTCGCTCAACACGGTATTCTTCTTCCATCACAAAAACCTGGCTGCGAGCCTTGAGTAGCTGATCCCATCCGATGGCAGCAGCGATCTTTGTCAGAAGATTATAGGCCTTCAAGAAAGTACCTTGGTAATTAGCAGCATGGATCTTTCGAAGTGAAGGGTGAACATAGTCATGAGGGTCTCCTTGCTTGGGCTGGCCTTCATCTATTTCATCGAGAATGCTTTCAGCAAGAATTGGGAGCATGATGCGTGATGGTTGTGGCATGCGAGGGGTATCTTTGTCTTGATAAGTGAACATGGGCAAGAGTTGAGAGTCAGAAGCGCCAAGTCCCAGCGTTCCATACTGACATACACCTCTGCGAGGCGGGCCCAGGTACTGAATTCGCTGGGAGCTGCAGTAACTGCACGCTTGGCGCACTCAAGTGCCATCTCGCTTTCACCTTTGCTTTGACAGAAACTAGCCTGGCAATCAAGCAGAGCATAATCCATTGGAACATCTTGTAAAGCGTCGTACATGAGGCGTACCGCTTGCACCTCCTCATCTGCCATAATCTGTACACGAGCCAGGAGGGACGAGACCTCCACATCCTTTGTACGGAGTTTCTCAAACAAGTTGATCCCAGAAGTATAACGACCAGTCGTGTGGATGTATTTCAGGATGCCGGATGTGAGGTGGTTGCTCACAGTGTTAGGGACTTGGGTTTCGGGATCAGAGCTCAGTTGGCGTCCTAATATTGTTAGTCAGAGACACAACAGGTAAACTCATTTGAGATCCATACCCAAAAAGAAAAGTTTCTCGGCGGCATCTAAGAACTTGTGCTCCATTTCTGTGTTTGTCACGGGGTTGAATCGTCGGACTCCAACAATCCTCTTGACGGAATCTCCGCTTCCATCGTCCGCATAGAGATAGGCCCTCAGGACGGCGCAAAGGAAGGTCTCAAGCCAAAGAGCCTCGGTAGCAACACGCTTGTCACCGCGCTCATCAATGCAGTAGCTCTCCAGGCTTCCGGGAATTTTGACTTCGACGCGCATATCGAGATGAGAGAATGCATTGTAGCAACTGTATAGATGTCAGCGTCTGAATCAAACACTATACCAAGATAGATTTCTAACCAGTAGATTCCCGAGACTACCTTATGCGTCTTGTCGAGGGGAGAGAATGTGAGGGTATTGACATAGGCGGCTAAGCTAGCGGACGAGGAGGCATCGATTCCGGTGACATGATGATAAACTCCGGTCTGCAATAGATATAAACTCAACCAATTGTTCACACATGGTAGATTGTATCTGGAAGGGAAGTTGCTATCTTATATCTTACCTGGCGAGTCGAATTGGCCTTAGGCTGCTTGACCAAATAGACCAGGTCTGGAGGGCCTAGTTCTCGCAAGCTCTGCAAGGACTCCGTTCGCGCATCGACTGCAACGTAGATATCCTCCTCCTCGTGGATCCTAAATAATGTCCTTAATGTCAGTCACAACTCCTGTAATTTCCGTAGTGACAATTCTCGCCAATCTCGAACAATGGCCATGCATACGCAACCCGGGGAACACGTAAACGGGGATAGGAGCACGTACTCAGGGACAGCGGGCGCAACCATGGCGCCTGCACAAGCGCGGTAGAATCAAAGATGAGGGTATCTTAATTTATGAATTCTGCGTGAATCGTAAGACGTTTCAGGGGTTGCACTGAGGGGGAAAGTGAAGAGTGATCTAAGAATACTCCAACTGCCAGTACTCCCCAAGAAAAGGGTTCTAGGCCACAAGGCATTCAGGCACCAAGGCCCCAAACACTTTCCCCGATCGGTTCAAACGCGTGATAACGTGTGTCTGCCCGCGATAACCAACTGATTCGCTCATTATCTTGTCGCATCTAGGGTCTCGATATCTTGCCCGATGCTGTCGCCTGATCTTTCTTTTCCATCTAATACTTGACGGACCCACGTGGAGCTCACACCATGTCGAGCTGGGTCGCATTGAATGTTGAGCCCGATGAGGCTGTCGAAGAGGAAGTTGACGACACCAAGGAGCTTCAGATCGAGGAAGCTTTGAAGCTTTACCACAATGCCTTAAAGCTGCATTCACAAGGGCCAGAGCACTACTCCCAGGCTGCTGAAGCCTATGAAGCTCTTCTCAATTCCGAGATCTTCAAATACCCAGAGTCTATCTCCGATTTCAAAAGGGGTGCATTCGACGATGCACACGATGCGCACGATGAAATTGCTACAGAACCAATCGCCGAGTTCAACGTCAACGATTCTACCTCCAGTCTATTCCAAATGCTATATCTATCCTATAAAAACCACGGCAAATTTGTCCTCGATTCAGTACAAGTCTCCATACGAACAGCGTCACAGACCCCCGAATCCGAGGAGGAAACACAAAGGAAGTTGACGGAGGCATCAAGGAAAGCTTTAGGATCTTTTGGGGATGCCTTGGAACGAGACGACTCAGATCTCAACCTCTGGAGGCAAAGCGCAAGGCTCAGCAGTTCCTTAAACAGCTACCGCTTGTCTCGGTATTGCTTGGAAAGTGTGCTAGCGGACGATGACAACCGTTTGGAACTACGGTCAGAGCAGCTTGGCCTTGAGGAGATATTTGCGGAGCAGCGCCTGCGAAGCACACTGCAGTCCCTCTTTGACAAGTTATCTGCCTCGCAAATCCCCGATCAGAGGCCAAAGAAAGCTTTATTGAAATACCTCAAACAGCATGAGGATCCATATCCAAACCTGCCCGCTCTTCCCGCTGATTTGAGCCGCCTAAATCCGTCAAAGGGCCCGCTTGCCCTTCACGCTTCTCGCCGAGAGATAACCCCTGCTGACCCAACCTGGGAGTCAGTTGGCAAGGCGCTTCTCCAAGCACTTGACGATGAAGGCGATGAATCGCTCGCTGCTGTTCCCTCTCCGTCTATCGGCATCATCTTACCCGCTAGAAGCTCCCATGCTCCAACTACACCGATCGCGAACCCGGAGGATACGGAAATGATCATAGATACCGAGGGGCGCGGAAATAATGGTGGCAATGAGGTTGCCGACGTGATGCTTGAGACAACCGAAAATGATGGCAAGCCCGAACAGAGTTCGCCTCAGCCAGCGAAAGAGCCCTCTGAGCCAGGTGAGGAACACTCCTCCATCGATCAAAGCGCCGAAAAGCAATTGATGGAGTCATTGGAACGTCAATCGACGCAGCCGCAAGATCAACAGGCAGAACAAGATGGGAATCACGCGGAAGAAGTTGACACGAACTCTGCAGTGGACATTCGCAAAAGATCGTCTGCATCAGCTGCGAACGAAGAGCCGGAGGGTGGCCGCATGAAAAGCAGACGAACCCGAGCCCGCGAGTCAAATGCTGACACTCTGGCACCACCCGAAGAAGTTGCATTCGATCAAGACAAGTACTACGGAGACCGTCTTGAGATTTTTGTCAATGCCGATGATTGGATGTTCAGCACTGTCGACTCTCTCTTCTCGAAGGTCGGTATCGATGCGCTCGGTAGCATTGAAGCTCTGAGAGAAAAGTGCCCTGGGAATGACTCAACCGATACACCCCAGGATCTGGAAACACGATTATTTCAGGATTTCCGAGGTCTCATCAAGACATGGGATGATGAAAAGTCTCGATTGATGCAGCAAAAGGATGATTTATCTCCACTGAAGGACATTCGTGGCACAAGCAAGTCAGGATTGGCTGTTTTCCTTGAGCACTCAAGAAAAGCTGTTCGGAAGCCAGTTATCGAGGAAGAGCTTCCTTCTGGGGAGCAACTTTATAAGTTTTCCAGCGCCATCAACTCTGACTGGCTGCATCCCCATGAAGCTTCGTTCGAATGGCTAAAATGTCTTCTTATGCCGGATTTCGGCCAAGAGTCTTCGAACTGGTCGACAGCAAAGTCGACTTACGTCTGTTTTATGTGGCCAAAAGAGCTAAAGAAGACAGTCGTGGAGCTTTTAGTTCGGGAGGATGGATTTATCTACCAGGCGTGCAGCGAACTGATCTCCAATCTTGAAGCTCGAATTCTTGGGTCAAGCGATGGAGCTCCATTTGAATATAAAACTAAAGACTTCTTCGAACTTGAGATGATACAAGCCATCTACGAGCTTCATTTGGATGTTTTTGCTTCAGCTGAGAGTCTTGGCAGTGAGACAGACCAGGAGACAAGACTGGCGCAGCGTGATCGGCTGGCTCGCTGGGGTATGCTAGCCCGCTCATCCATAGATCATTTTGTCAGCCACTGCCCATCTGGCGAATCCCAATCAAACCTCACTCTGCGCCATTTGTGGGCGTCGGCATTCCATATCAATCTTGCTGCGGACGCACAGCGAGAACACATCCTGCTCTGTCTTCATGACCTGAAGCAAATACTTCAGTCCCTTGGCAACCCAAGTGTCAGTCTCATAAATAACACTACTATGTCAGAATTGTCCGCTGCTGTGATAGACCAGGAGGTCTTGAAGCTCAAGTGCATGGACTTTTTCGCCAAGGTGTTCAACTCAGACTCTGAGGATCCTGTGACTCTCATCGAAGCAATAGAGCCAATCCTTGAACCCTCATCGATTGAGTATTCTGAGATGCCGATGGAGAATGACGTAGATCACCCTACCTCACATCTCGGGGAAATGGCTGCCTTCCTCGATAGAGGAGATGCTACATTGCGGCTATTCCTCTGGCGCCGACTCCAGGAGGCATATCAAGCCATTGACTACCCGCCTAAAGTTGTCTCTTGCTATTTACGAAGCATCGAAGTGGTAATGGCAGAACTCGAGGCAGCGAAACACAGCGAAGAAACAAGCCACCATCGTCAAATAGCTCTGTTGGGCTGGCTCAAAGCCCTCGATGGCATTGTGGCCAAAGCCATACTGCTTATTCTCGAAGATACAGAACAAGCATTTGACTGTCTTGACATGGAACATTTACAAACCTCAATGTCTGCTATAGCCCGCCTCGTGAGGCTTTTGCACAGCTTTATCCTTTACGAGGACTCGGTGCGAGTAGGCCAGATTTCTGGTCGCGACTTCCGAGGCTCGTTGGCAAAATCGCTTGAAAACATGAAAGAAAGAATGCGAGAGCTATATGTCCGCTGCTGGATCTTGCAATACACCCTCTTCATGGAAGCGATTGCACAAAACAAAGAGCTTTTCGATGATCCGCTTGAAGACCGCATTCATTTCCTTCGTTCCGTCCATAATGCATTGGGCGTTCGATCGATGTGCAGATATTCGCAAAAGAGGTTCTTGAAACTTCTGAAAGCGGAGCTCTTTGGTCTTGAAACCAAGGGCGACTATGAATTTGATGTGTGCCAAATACTTCTCGATCTCCACGGTATCAAATTCTCCGCGTTCGATGGGACTTTGGACCATGGATGTCCTCCCGAGAAATTAGATCGCCCTACAGCGATCTTAATGATCGACTTTGTTCTGCAACAAGCAAACAAGATGAATATGAAGGACTTGTCCAAGTCCGAATTGAAGACTACCATTGAGAAGATGCAGCAAGCGATTGGCCCCGCTAAGGCTTCTTCACAGACACCTCAGTTGACTTTCAATCGTCGCCTTGTGAATGCATACCTTAAAGCCCCACTCAACCCATCCAACCTCCTCCGTGCTGTTCAGGGCATTACAGAGCTTTCGACGACTATAGTTCCCACCGAGAATGCCAAGATTGCTGCGAAGGGCTGGTTCTTCCTTCTCGGTCATGCCGCACTCACCAAATTCCGATCCCAGAAGCGCCTCAGCCCTGGTTCAACAAGCGAGCTTGACGACGCCATCGGGTTCTTTAGGCAGGACTTAGATCATGGAACAGGGAGATGGGAAACCTGGTATAGGCTCGCTCAAACCTATGACTCCAAACTTGATGAAGACATTACATGGACAGCTGATAAGATCAATAACAACCGGTCTGACTTGGCAGCCCTGCAGCGAAATGCTATTCATTGCTATGCCATGGCTGTTTCAACAGCAATGAGGAGTGCAGAGCCAACGGCAGAGACCAGAGAAGCGATGTCAGATCTTTATTCTGACTTTGGTATCCGCCTGTACTCATCCTCTCGTGAGCCACTATCCATGGGAGCCTTCAGTGTTGCAGACTTCCCTCGTCATTTCAGCAGCGAGGAGAGCCAACAAATGTACAAGGGAACGCCTTTCAAGGAGATGTCAGCTTATTCAACATGGAATTTTGCTAGCAATCTTCTCAAACGGGCAGCTATCGACAAGTCTAAGCGATGGATGTAAGTGATCTAAATGGGACTTGACAGAATTGGGGCATTTGAAAGAGTACTAACACCTTGTAGGACTCATTACACACTTGCTAAATGTCTTTGGAAAATGTTCACTAGCGATGATTCTTTGAGGACGACATCCAAAAGAGTCGAAATGCCAGAGGTGATAAATGCTGTTCTCGATGCTATTGCTGCACTTCCGCAGCGACGAGACTCGCGCTCTGATCCGATCTTTGAGCCACATTTCAAACTCTTCTCTTTTGTACACAAGCTTGTTGCTCGAGGCAACATGACGGTAAGTCCTATCGCTTCTGATATGAAGAACTCATTCTGATAGCAACACCAGCCTGCCGAAGGAAGCAAGACCCTCCTTGCAACTCCCTGGGCCCGTAAGATCGAGCCTCCTGAGAACATGGAGGGATGGAACACATACATACTCGAAGTCCTTCGGAAGTATAAAAGCGCCGACAAGTCCAACTGGCATCATCGCATGGGTGTAAAGGTATATAAACGCGACTTGATCTTTTTCTTTTTTGTTCATACTGCTTACAACCCCTAGGCTGCGCATGTCATTTACGACGACCAACAAAACGCAACCGCTGCTATTGCTGCCAAGCAGGAGCTTTCCCAAATATTCACCAAGACACTTACAATCCAAGTGTGGCGGCCAGAATTCGAACGTCCGGGTCGACATTTCGTTTACACGACCCGCTACGTGTACTTTTTTGTTGGCTTGCTTGACCAGCTTGACGATCGCGCAAGCTTAGATCAACTTTTGCGCCGTGTGAGAAAGAAGCAAGGCGATTTCTTCAATCACACCAAGCTGTGGGAAGACATTTGCCTAACTTATGCGAAGATCATCCGCCGCGCAGCCAAGATCAACGAAGGTCACGAAGAAAGCGTATTCAAACCAATCGGATGGGAAGAGTTCTCTACAAAGACAGCTCGCTTGGAAAGCCTACCTCACCTGGGACTAGAGAGCCGGTCCATCTTAGAACTACTTCGAGATGCCCTGGAGCTAAAGAAGCTCAACAACAACCTGATGAAAATCACCATGTTCGAAGACCTGATCGCCGACCTCTACGCCCGTCTCTACGAGATCAACACTCCCCACCTGGTCGAACAAGCAACTGAGGAGAACAAAGAAAAGATGAAAGTCGACCACGTCCTCATGGTAGGCGACGGCCCTCCCGAGACCTCAACCCCTCCTACATCCGTCCCAGCATCTGATACCCCGGCGCCCGCGGCCGTACAAAGGGCATCGCCCGCCGCGATATCCAGAAACGCGCCGACACAATCGTGAACACGAAGCTGGCTCCTCGCACTGTGGCCAGTAAAATAACCGCAGCGGGCGAGCCGGAGCCGCCTGCAACTCCGCAGGGCGTTGGGTCGACTTCTGCGGGGCCGAGCTCTGCGCCTCTTGGTTCAGCTAAGCAGGTTTCTATTACTGGGGATGGCTCGGCTGAGCAGATGGACGAGCATGACACAGCTGACGAGACTGGTTTGAGCGAGAATGATGACACGAAGCTAGGTGATGAGGGGACCTCGGCGCTTTTCCCTCATGTTACTGATGCAGAGGAAGGGAACACTGGTGACGAAGGTGCGGATGAAGGTGACGGCGAGGACGATGAAGGGGTCCATGAAAATGAAGGCGAGGGGGAGGGCGATGGGGATGGGGACGGTGATCATGGTGTGGCTGAGGGTGAGGGAGATGACGATGAGGAGATGCAGGATGAGGAAACGAAGTTAGAGGAAGAAGATAAAGAGGAGAAGGAGATTCCCGCTGCCGACCAGTCTGCCAATGATACTGAGTCTGAGCATGTCGCTGACAAACGAGATACCGGGGAACAAGATGCCATGGACATTACGCCCTCTGAGTCCTGAGCAATCTGCAATACATCCGAGGAGGGGACTTGCTTTCTTTTTTCTTTTCGGTTATGGAGCACGTGGGATGTTCTCCTCAAGACAGGATCTTTTTAACTACAGGATGGCGTTGAGAGACAGGTGGCTTGATGGCTTACGAGCTAGCATGTACAATATTCGCAAAATTCAAATCTGGGATTGTCAATTGGGAAATGAAATATCAACAATTATTGAACACAAGGATCAGTCACCTCCGAACGCCTTAGCCAAGGGATATCATTCAATATTAACCAAAAAGAAAAGGAAAGAAGTAAACCCAGCAATTAGAAGGTCTTGTATCTCAAGCAGCGTAAGAAGAATAAATCGTAACAGTCATGATCGAGGAGAGTAGAGAGGGACGCTTAGATCTGGTCCTCTGGGGCGAGGTCCCATTTCCGGGTTCCCATTTTCCTGGTCCTCTTGATAGGCGAGGCCCCTGGGGATGGAGGAGCAAACATGGTATCTGCGAGCTTCAACTGATCCATGCGTTGCAAGGCATTCTCGATATCGCTTTCGCGACCGAGAAGATTAGACCGCGCGGGCGTGGCATTCTTGGGTCTATGCTTTCTTGTAGGGGATTGGTTCTGCATCTCACGCTCAAGGGCGGCGAGTTTGCGGCGAAGCTGGTCATTTTCTTGCTCGAGCTCTTCCACTCTTTCGTTTGGCCCCGAATCTTCAAATACTGGAGATAGAGGTCAGTTCACGAGTTCCTACGTTTCGCTCCTAATGGGCCAACCTACTTTGGAATCCACGGGATACAAGCTCAACCTTCTTGTCGATGTGCTCGTCATTGCGACCGATCTGGAAATTGTTAGCGTTTGGTAAAATTTGAGCTGGTCCAGCGCTACGAACCTGCTCATCCCAAGCCCTCTGCCAGCGTCGCCTTTCTTCTTCCGTTTTCTCATCCATCTCTGCCCAGCACTCCTCTCTCACGTCTTGCTCAATCATGAGACATCTTTCTTCAGCAGCTCTCAGTCTCATTTCAGCATCAGACCGTGCAATCTCTTCTTCGGCTAGCTTGACAGCGAGGCCGTGGCAATCGCGTGTGAGGCGTGCGATCTCAGCAGCAGCTCTCTCGAGCTCTCCGGATGAATCGAAATTTGGCGAAGTGCAGCCACTGACTGAGCGGTGACTTCCAGAAGCGACAGACAAAATAGATTCGCAGACTGAGGGAACTCTTGGTACAGTAACCTCACGAGCCAATGCGGAGTAACGCAAAATTTGGGAGGTGGCGTTGAAATCACCCAGGGGGTCAGCGGTGACGATCATGATACCCTTTTGGGGATATTGGCCTTTAGACATCTGATGAGACGATGGGAATGAATTTGAAAACAGAAGCTCGGTCAATTTGCATTGCCGGTAAGGAACGAGAGCAGTCTTCATAGATTAGCAGCTGCCAAAGAAACACACGACGATGAGCTCAAACACACCTTCATTCCATCCTGTATGTTGCTTTGCATCTGCAGGCATTGGCCAAGATACATCAAGCTTTCGTTGATTTTACCAGCCTCAGCGAGTGTGGCACCGGCTGTCTTTGCCGTTCTCGCACGCTCGGAGCCTAGATTAGTTAGGGGCGGCCCTACTGTAAGGATACAAATACTTACCAGCAAGATCCACAACGGTGAGGGTGCTTCCAGCCCAGTTGTGTTCACCGGTCCGCTTTGACCATGTCCGCTTCTTGATTTCCAGGGAAAAGAAGCCATGACTTCGAGAGCTAACGCTATTCATCCCAGTGCCAGTTACCTTGCGTTCGGTTAAACCAACGTCCAAGATAGCTAGCGCTTCCTCATAGCTGCTGCAAGCGATTTTGCGTAGCCCTGCAACTAGTTTCCGATCTGGTGAGCCTTCGGTAGGCTTGAAGAGCAGAGGACGTCGGCGATCCTTCTGGTTATTTCCGCGGGACATGGTGCCCTGGCCTGAGACAATAGAGGGAGACAGAAGATCAAAAATTCGGTCATTGTACACCTCATACATGGACACCAAAACGACATAGTCGGCATTTGAATCCATATCCACTGTAAGGTGGCTCATATCGGGCAACCTAGGAAGGGCGCATGGTCGTTCACGTATGTGACGGCGGGGGAAGTTCAAGGCCGGGGTGGGTTCCTTAAAGACATAAAGTCGAGATTTAGCTGATTTGGGCTCAAGTAGATTGGAGTGGGTGTAGGGGATAGGATTCGAAAATCCTGGGGTGATCCATCCAGAGGGCTCAGTCGAGACCTGGCGAAAGCCAGCTCGTGCAGCGTTATTGGAACTGGTGATAGAAGATGAATCCGCTTTACGGGGGCTTCCAGGTTTAGATCTCGGCCTTGGGAGAGAAGGTCCAGGGGTGCGCGATCGCGGGGTCGGGGATCCTTGGGGGGGAGTTCAAGGTAAAGGGGCTTCGTACCATCAAAGGAGTATTGGCACGAGATGGGCTCATGGGAGTTTGCGCTCTCGACGTACGTCCATTTGGCTCGCCATATACAGCTTCCAAAAATGTCTGGGCGGAGAACAATTGGGCTTCAGAAGCGTCCGCGGCAGCCAGCGAGGCAAGCATTACAGGGGTAATGCTATCGTAGTCGGTCTTGGTTGTCGGCTCTAGGGAGCGAAAGATAACGTCAAGCGCCATTTGGGTCATTCCTCGTTCGGTCTTGGATCCTAGAATGGTGTGGCTCTGTATAACCAACCCGTTAGCTTGGTCATCACGACATTGCAATATTTGGGAGCAGACCTTTCCGCTGCCTGTAACTCCCAGGGTAGCGACAAGTCCATCTCGATTCTCCTTCAGAACTCCGCGTATGATAGGCTCCATTCCAGTGTCATGGAAGACATCCAGCTGCGAAGCGGTCTCCTCGAAGACCTTTGTGAAACCAAACCTCTCGACGGCGCGTCTTCTCGTGTCATTTGGTGGTTGAAGAGTAATATGTGTTGGTCCCAGTGAAACGATCTCAGTTTCCTCCTGCGAAACCTCTGGCAGCTCAACGTTCAAGAAACGGTCAGATTCATTGGGCTTTTGGGCCATCGGGGGCCGGAGCCGAAGATAAACTTGGAACAGCGAGGTCTGGGGCTGCTTGGGCGGCATTTTGGCTCGTGAGTATCTAGACAACACGAGGGCAAGCGTGAACCTTTCAAGTTGAGGAATATACGCTAAGCAGGCAAACTTGGAAAGTCCAGAACGTCCACAGATCAACATTGCGCTTACCGCTTTAGGCTATCGGTTACCCTGACAACAACAATATCACGTGCAACTATATAATCCATGCGACTTGAAAGGACAGATGAATTAATAGCTCATCTCATGTGAGCATACCTTGGGATTCAATAATTGTAAACTGAGAATCGCTGAAATATTCGCCCGTTTATAGTCCTATATGATCTTGATAGGGGCACCTGAGGCTACTGTAGTGGGTAAGCTTACGATATCTCGCAAAGTGCTGTGCAGCCTCTGCGTACAGATCAGAAGACACAGCCTCCCATTAAAAGGGACAATGAATTGTTAATCTCTAGGGCTGGAATCAACATTACATAGGCACCATTGAGATTAACATGGTATATATTAGTGGTCCTTTTGGTTAACATGGTGTTATCTGGCCCATAACAGTTGCTCACATATGTATGTAGGTATCCATCACCTGCCTCCCTTGGTATAGAATACTTTGATAGTGTACACCAAGTATCTACTATCGAGTCTAGCCGTTTAATATAGGGTTCACTTATGATCCTGACACATTGTTAAACTAGCAGGGAAAGATTCTTCCTCTCACGCCTGAAAAGTCTGAAATAGATAGCACTAGACAAAGATAGAGGCTTACAGCACTGCTCCGTACCTTGCCACATATTATATTAACCTACTAGTAGCCTGCATTAGCGTGTCCATGGGTGTAATACCAGCCCAAACAAGCCATTTCTGAGCTGATTTCCGATGAAACTATTTATGCTCTTAAGTTGGATACAATATCCACAGTAGCGTGTATATTTCGGATTTGATGTACTATCAGCGTAAGTCGGCCTCCTCCATAAAAATGTCTGCCATTGGTAGATCTTGGACATTGTTTTCCCCTAGTCCCGTGTATGCCCAAGCTATAGGCCCATTATTATCATCCTCTCCGCGGAGTACTGTGTCGTACTATGTCCACATATCTTGGTTAGTGTTGTATATTGGTGACGCTATAACCCTATCCAATTCACTTAAAGCAAGCGAAAACGAAGTTACTTAGGTTGGACTAGCGTGAGAAGAAGGTTGGCGAATCATAAGCCGAGGATCGGTGGCAGTGAAGCTTCCGTATTGAGCGGCTCAGCATAGCCGCAGAGGCAGTGGAAATACGAGGCCATTTTATACCCAATCGTGGATCCGCTACCATTCTTTGTGAATGGCAGGTTAAGGAACCATGTAATATCATGAGGCGTTGCAAGGAATACGAAATTACCTGAAGTGGACACTGTCTAGGTCATATACCTATAGTTTCGCATGAAAAGCACTGCCCAAATTTTGTATATATATGTAACATTCCCCCGGCATAGTCAGCTAGTTTTTTATCAAAATACACATACTCTCCAACTTCCATCAATACATCAGCTACACAGAAGTCCTTTTACATGAACTTTGATTGTTTGCATCAAGAAATATATAGTTGGTGGATCTACAACAACCATGCTCGAAGCAAGGTCAGCATATCGTAAGTCGCCTACTAAATCAATCACGATCAATAGTTTACCTGACGAAACCAAAGAGGAGGGAAGCCTGTGGTTCTATGCGCCAAACAAAGGCGCTGCAATTGCCTTTGCGATTCTCTTCGCTATTTCCGGCGGCCTCCATGGGTATCAATGCTAGTATGTGACCCTCCCTACCCACTATGAACCCTCCAATTAACGAGATTCCATAGCAAATATAAGTCCTGGAAAGTCACCGGCTTTCTTCCCTGGTCTGCCCTTCTGTTCACGGCGGGTTTCATCACCCGAACTATTGGAGCGTTCGGACAGTGGGGCAATATAGGCATCTTTATTGCAAGCACTGTGCTTCTCCTCGCTGGACCGTAAGGAGTACCCATCATACCTATCCCATCATGAGAGACGCTACTGACAAGCAACTTCTATTATCCTAGACCAGTGTATGAGGGTGCTAACTTCTTCATTTTGGGCCGCATACTCTACTACATCCCGTACCACTCCCCAATCCACCCCGGCCGCGTATTCACGACCTTCCTCGCCCTGGGCGTGGTCATTGAGAGCATTACCGCGAATGGGGCGGCCCAAGTCGCAAGGACAGATTCTAGTGTCAGCTCGCAGAACACCGGAAAGGCACTACTGAAGGCGGCGCTTATCATGCAAATCTTTCTAATGGTAAGCTTTGTGTCTTTGGCCGGCCGATTCCACTTCAACTGCGCCCGAGGAGGCGTATTGAACCACAAGATCAAGAGTGCATTACTGGTGTTATACTGCAGCTGCACCCTCATTACCATCCGCACCATCTACCGCACCGTGGAATACTTTACTGCCGCGAGTCTGAATGCCTACAGTGACATCGAGAATATCAGTCCTTTATTGAAGAGGAGTGGTTCTTCTGGTTCTTTGAGGTGGTATTCATGTATAGCAATACCACCTTGCTGAATGTCTTTCATCCTATGCACTGGCTTCCGCGGTCAAACAAGATTTATCTCGCTGAAGATGGTGTCACAGAGATTGAAGGCCCTGGCTATGACGATCCCCGTCATTGGCTCCAGACTTTTGTTGATCCATTTGACATCTACGGGCTGATCGTTAAGCGAGGCAAGAAAGAGAAGTATTGGGAGGCGGACCCAACCCGGAGAGAGGGCACCACTGCTAAAACTACCCAAGGGGTATAAGCCCATTTTGTGTTGGTTTATCTTCATTTTTGGGCACTCAGATATTACTTGTGTTCTTACTCTTTGTTTATCTGATTCTCATGTAATTTATATCTCATATGCTTTATTAAATATGCATTCACTTGAAAGTCGCAGATATATGTATCAAACAAAAGTCCATACCTCACCAGTCTTCTTTTTCTTTACCCAGCTCCTCCTGAATCTCCCAACTATACCGAGCAAACTTGCTCGCCCGACGAATCCGTTCTCCATAGCAGATAAACACAGGTGGTACTATACAAAACGCAGTTGCCACAGCAGCAAGCACGGACATAGCAACATTATTTCCCAACCGGTCAAACATTTGAGGTGTAAACAGCGGAAAGACACCCGACAACAGCGCTCGCACGAATGCAACGGCGGCGGTGGCACTGGCCGAGTAACTCAGATAAGAATCGGAGATATACCCATACAGCACGGTATCCATTTCCGTCAGCGCGTAGCCCACCAGAACGAGGGAAATCGTGGGCACAATCCACGGAGTTTGGGTCTCAGGTGGAATAGTCCAGGCAAACCACCATAGACCAATTGCCAGAAATGGACCACCAAGGCCTAGCCCGACGAGCTTGTATTCCGGCTTAATAGGGCGTCCCTGTCTGCGGAAATAGTTGAGAATGTAGCTGTCTAGCATGCGGGTCAATGTGCTGAGACAGGTTCCCAGGCCGATGGCGAGGAACATCAAGGAGGCGTCGGTTTTTGCAAATCCCATTGACTCGTAGATGGGTTGGAGGGCTTCTGTAAAGATGTAGATGAGGGACATGGCGACGGAGATCATCACTGCGATGACAAAAATGATGGGTTCTTGAAAGAAGAGCTGAGCTGGGCGAAAGAGGGCTTCTTTTACAAATGTGTTGAGATCCGGGATATGGTCGTGGTTGAGCGGCGGTGGAATATATTGCACAGTAGCCACATCGGTGACCCGTTTCACCTCGTAGGCCAGCAGCAAGGAAGGTCGAGATTCTCGAATGAAGAAGAGGCCACCTGTAATCGCAGCAACAATTATGGCGAAGATATAAAAGTTCCATCGCCTGGGTGGTTGTGAGAAATTTACAATAGACCATGGTTGTGGGCTACGTACCAATCAAGACCTGCAATAATATAGCTGCTCATTATGGGTCCAAGAATGAGACCAATGTTTGAAGCAATTGTCCAATAGTACATAGCCCATATTCGAGCATGTGAGTTGAACATGTCCTCGATGCTGCCGCCGATAATGGTATAAGGGATTGCGGAAAGAAGCCCGGCGGTGATGCGCATGATGATAATGACTGGCATTGAGCGTACCAAACCAATGATCATACAGCAAAGGGCGCTGAGACCACTGCTCACAATGTACATGTTCTTGCGCCCAAATGTCTCTGACCACGGGGGAAATAAGATGGTGCCTGCCACCTGGCCGAGAAGAAATCTGCTCAATGTCAGATACGCAATATAGACGGAGACTAGTTGATCTCACATTGTGACAAATATAAAAATAGAAAGCGTGTCGCTGATATTGTATTCATGTTTGGCCTGTGCTGCAGCTGCCGACTAGGAAAGACCGGGGTGTTAGCTCGGCAATATCGTAACTGAATAGCGGTATACACTCACACCTGCGGTACTGGATGCTGTTCTGCAGATACTGTCAGCCTATTGACAAACATAGTTGGGATATTGTGTGGTCACACATAAAAAGATCCAAGAGGCAGATAAGGACAATATCATAAGTCTTTCGTAGGCCAGACCAATTTCGAGGATGCCTTGGGTGGTCTCCCGACCACCGCACATATCTCCCATCTGGGGTAATCTCAAGGCAATGGTCATGCAGGAGCTCAATGGCTGAAGGTTCCGGCTCGCCTGTTGATAAGGTCGATTCTGAGGAGATAGACTGCATGTTGGGCCACCGTAGAGCAAATCATATATAAATGGTTATAAAGAATGTTCGACCGAGTTGCCCTTAGTTGCAATACATCAGTCCTGGATGAAGCTAATCTACGGTGGGATTCGAGCTTTTATCATCTTCAATGTTCTAGCTCGGACATTTTTATGCAAACCTTGCCCCCAAGAATGAAGCCCCTTGCGATCTGCAAATGGGGTCTTTGGAGCTCAGTTTGAAATAAGTACACACGCGTCAGTCGTCTAAAACATCCTCAGGAATTTCATTTATAATACACTTGGTTCCTATCTGCCGATAGGTCGTCTAGGTGAGACATGGTAGGGAAGTCAAACTTCATGCTTGAAACGAAGTCAACCAAGTGTATATCACAAAAAGCAATATCTACCTAGGTATTTAATTGGCTGTTGTATAATACGGAGAATGGTCACAATTTTAGCCATGCGACATAGTCTAGTGACTCGATTTCTAGGGATACATTCTTTGTGGTGATTTCTCCGCGCCAAGAGGTGAACCTATTAGAAGAATCAGAGAACAATGAACTTATGATGTCAGGCCATGTAGCTATTACCTATAATGAATATCAAACGAGCTGTGACTATATCTCAGTAAACAGAACAAGCTTTGACCAATGATGTCCAATGATGCCCAAGGATGTCCGGGAAGCCGGAATATGACCCGGCCTTGTATAGTCGGAGAGGGTCTAGGACTTGTCTGTCTTTGCTGAAAACATAATTTGCCATCTTTGAGTGGGCAGGGAAGTCAAGGCCATAAAGCGAGAAACAGACATTTCTTGAATATCATTAGCTATACATGGTTATCAGCAAGCCAACAGCCATTTTCTACTGGAATATTGCATCCTTCTAGCACAATATGAACCCTGAGCTTGCAAACACGCCTCTGGGGTTTTGCGGATATTTGTGCTTACCAGTTCATCAAGCTCGAAGGGCTCTGAAGAGAGCACACAGATCCCACTCTTGCCCTGGGCTGTGAGCTCTGGCCAGTTCAATCTGTTATTCTAGTTAAGCGCATCCTTCTACAGTGTAGCACGTGTGCTCTTGCACAGTTGCAAAGCCCCCAAATCCAATAAGCGGTTGTTGCAACCAAGCGGAGTCCACCTGGGGACAATATTCGGAAGATTACCACACATAGAAGTGGATCCTATCTCTATCTTAGAAGATAGACAAAGGCCTCAATCTGAATTAGCCGAAATCCGATGTGTGAACTCACATGTAGTACGTACAATTATACATGGTGGTTATACCTGCAAGGCGGAAAGGCAGTGGATCTGCGCCAAGGCGATCTCCGACGAGGCCACCTCTCCGCACCTTCTAGCTCTATCAAAACACAACCCAACCAGTCTAATTAGCTGGACACAATAGGTATCGTCCTTTTCCATTTTGCAGGAGACAAAAAAGAGAAATCTCTCAGCAGTATTTCTAACCAAGAACAGTTACTATTAGAGCGACCTACCCCAAACCTCCCGTCCGTCCATTGATCGCGAACCGCCCACCATGCTATCCTCCCTTTCCTCCAGCATCACAAATGCTCGGCAATCAATCGCACAAGTGTTGAACTTTGCGCTCGTTCTTTCCACCGCTTTTATGATGTGGAAAGGCCTCTCGGTTGTGTCCGCATCAAGCTCTCCAATAGTTGTGGTTTTATCCGGTAAACAAAGCTATTCACAATGGTATGGGCACAGCTCACATTCCCTCACTACAGGATCGATGGAGCCCGCGTTCCAACGTGGTGACCTGCTCTTTCTCTGGAACCGAGACACGAGGACGGAGATCGGAGAAGTTCTCGTTTATAATGTTCGAGGAAAGTCCATTCCGATTGTCCACAGAGTTGTTCGCACTTTCCCTGAGGTAGAAGGACGTGCGAGTGCAAAGAAGGTGAAGGAAATTACAGTGTATGTCCTCGCCCGTCACCCAGCAATTTCTTTTATGGCTGCTTCTTTGTGCTGACGAGGTTCTAGGGGCACAACACCTAACTCGCATATGCTCCTCACCAAGGTAGGTAAACCAACAATTTGAATGGCCTGGGAAATCTCTAACAGCTCGCTAGGGTGACAACAATTTGGCCGATGATACTGAGCTGTACGCTCAAGGTAAGTGATACGAAAGCTTGAAGTGAGGCCACTTCCGAAGGCTACTGACAAGATTAGACCAGGATTATCTTGACCGGGCCGAGGATATTGTTGGCAGTGTCCGTGGCTACATTCCTATGGTTGGATACGTTACTATCATGCTCAGCGAGCACCCCTGGCTCAAGACAGTGATGCTTGGACTTATGGGACTGATGGTGATGATTCAGAGAGAGTAACAGGCGAAAATATACATTGGGTAATGGTAGGAATGGAACGAAATGCATTAAATGTTACAGCGAGTATGATTGCTAGTATACATAGTGTTCATTGTCATGGCGTACGATAGAGCGGCATATCAAACTTTCTCCACTGACGTCTTTTGCCGCGCACCCCACTCGGAGCTTCTAGCTTCGCCGTAAACGCCCCTTTTGTTCTTCTGGCAACTATCCCACATAGCGTCTTTTCAATATTGCTCAATAAATTTTTATTTATCTGTTGCTTCGACATCTTGAAACGCGCCTTTCGTTAACGCGTTTCGTTGCATTCTTCTCTCTACCTCCCCGCTCTTATCGCCCCGCCAAATCAACTGAACACCACAATGGGCAGCATCAAACGCATATCAAAGGTAGGTCCTATATTTCCACATGACCATCTTGGTATTCCAGTATACTGACCGTCTGTCCCGACTATAGGAGCTGACTGAGCTCACCGAATCTCCTCCGGAAGGGATCACGGTTGAACTAGCCGATGAGTCGAACGTGTACGAGTGGAAGGTCATCATGGAAGGGCCTGAAGGCTCACCATATTACGTATGTCAAATATAATCCAGCGCCCCCCTTATCTTCATCATATCCCGCCAGGGTCTCCAACAGGAGTGCCCGAACTCGAGCCTCGCGGTTCATGTTCAACAGCGTTTCTAACTTTTTGGCCAACGCAGAATGGCAAGTTCCTAGTCAAGCTCTCCCTGCCCACGGAATACCCCTTCAAGCCACCGACAGTCTCTTTCGCAACGAAAATATACCACCCAAACGTAACAAACGACGAAAAAGGAAGTATGTGCCTCGGCATGCTCCGAGCCGACGAATGGAAACCCAGCTCGAAGATCGCCGCAGTCCTTCAGTTCGCCCGTCAGCTACTATCCGAGCCGATGCCCGACGACGCCGTCGAGGGACGGATTGCAGAGCAATACAAGAACGACCGGGGGCGCTATGAGGAGGTTGCGCGGGAGTGGACTCGCAAGCACGCTTGTTGATAGCGTTGATGTGATTCGACTCGCTAAGGATCGGCTGCTCTATCAAAGGGACCTCTTTTCCTGTGTAATCTTTTGCCTTGACCTGGGCGTGCAAGATGCCTGCATGTCTGGATCCAGGCTCATAGATTGAGTTGTCGCTATCTGAGAGTGACCCCGCTTACGACTGAAACGCTGTCATGTTGTTCTTGTAAATTCATCAAGGCGAGAGCTGATCATATCTGCTTTGGTTTATATTCTTCCTGCGGATCCTGTGTTGATCGGCTGCGGCATCAAGTGTGTTCTATCCATTCCCTTTGTGGATGTGCTCCGTTGGGAGGATATTAGTTCCTGTAGATGTTAGACTTACCTAGTGAATCGTCTTCTCGGCCCAACCAGCCAATTCATGCACCAAAATCACGACAGAAATAAATGTTGGTTAACCTCGCTACAGCATGAGCGTGGCTACTGACCATCGATCCACCAGTCAATTTCCTTGCCATTGCTATCTTGTACTTCTAGTGTTGGTGACTATTACGTCTGGTTCTTAGGTAGTGAGTCAGTATATCCTACATAGTACAAGGATTGCTGGAATGCGTTGGTGCAATCTTAATCTTAAGTATCAGTTTGCTATTGGCATGAATCACCCAGCTTTCCATTATCAGCGCAGGAATTTGATCATCTCAAGGGAATTAAAGAGATATGGATAGCCACCCGTCACTCCCTCCTCCTTGGAAACAAGGAGTCGAACCTCGACCTCTCTAGGAGAACAAACCAGTTAGCAACAATCCACAGCCAATTCTCGACATATCCAATGACATACCATTATGTATCACGGTTCCCGTTCTCAGTCCTCAAAGATAATACTCCTTCCGTCACCAACGAAAGTAGTATCAAACCCAATAGCCAATGCCCAAAACTCGGGCTGCTGCAGGGTCGAGCGATGCGTCCTCACGAAAAGGCTTTTCATGTCGCGTGGAAGCCGATTGAAGTCTGCCACAATGCTCCGCTGCAAAGATTCCTCTTTTATCTTAGCTTGGATCCAGGTCTCAAGGTGGAGATTTCGTATAACGGGGTTCGACAAAATATCGAAAGCTGGGTTTGTTGGCGTCATCTCCATTGTCAAGTTTGCGACCCCCACAGTTTCATCGTAGAATCTCAGCCCTCTCTTGAGGCAGATCAGTTCTTGTAGGTCGTTGTCGAGGTTCATGACCTATTATGATAGTTGGTTCGTTAGTAGACGACGGTATGCTCTAATCTGGTTGTATGTACCGCTAGTGGTGGGACGAAAGGCATTTGCCTCGGGGGCACGGTGGCTTCTGGTCCTGGCATGCTTCCTATTTGATAGAGGATTGTTAGTATGAGATGGTGATGAAGAGTGGGAATACTTAGCCTTACGTTCGAACCGAGGCTTGGGTTATGGAACTGAGAGAGAGGGCGAGAGAGAGAGAGACCTCGGGAGGATGAGCGAGACAGAGAAAGAAAGAGAGAGAGAGATAGAGATAGAAAGAGAGAGAGAGAGAGAGAGAGAGAGGAGTGAGGAGGAGGAGGGATGAGGAAGGAGACAACCTTGGAATTCTAGCAGAACAACCCAGTTAACAACGAACTACAGAGCTAATTGTCCACATATTATTGGGAAGGGCTACACAGGGAAGATGGAGAAAGACTGTGTTGTATTCCGAGCGAAGCCCGCCAGGAGGAGGAAAGAAGGAAGAGAGGGAGGCTAATCTGTTGCTGTCTACGTATGTATATGAGTGGCCTAATGGACCAAGCACCCAACCTATACATACATATGTATCTAGCAACATACTAGTATGTATCCCACCAGCCCATTTCAAAGCACAATGACAACATCCTGGCGCCTGCTACCAGGACGAGTAATCTCCAAGCCATCAGCCGATGGCCGAAACCCATGCTCACACAGAGTCGACCGGTTAGCCCTTACAAAAGAGCGCTTCATATGACGCGGCAGCAGTTTGAAATCCGCCACGATGCTCCGGTGCAAAGATGCCACCTTCGACTTGGCCTGCAGCCAGGACCCGCGGTGAAGATTGAGCTGTGCGGGTGTCGTTGTCGAGTTGATGATTGACAGCATGGTTCGGTCGTAGATTCCAATTGCCGCCTTGGTGTAGACTAGTTCTTCTAGGTCGCCGCTGAGGTTGAGGACCTTTGTAGTATTAGGTTTGTTAGTAGGGAGAGCTATCCATGGATGCTTGGATAGGATTGTACGTACCGCTTGTGGAACTTGGGTCAATCGGGTAGAGGACATGGTGGCATAGGGTGCTGCGGTAGTTTCTATTTGATGAAGTCCTGTTAGTATGAGATACATAGGGATAGATAGTGGGAGGATCTGGAGTACATACCGATGTTTTGGATTCTGAGGTCGAGATGGAGGTTGATGGAGGTCGAGGAATGAGGCATGAGAAATGGAAGATGTTGGTCAATTACCCTGACGAGCTTGTGTGTGCAATTATAAGAGAGAATCACATAGTTATGTAGGACATGAGAGGAGAAGACCCCATGGTTTGCCTATCAAGGAACCACGTCGTTTCCTAGATGTCGAGTTTAAGATTGGATTACTACGGAAGAGCTAGAAGAAGCAAATATCAAGAAGTACATATAGTATTCCAACAGAATCCATGTGTATATCAACAATACATAGTAGATAGATCGAGGTCTACAGAGATATCTTGGTGAGATATTACATGGTGGCTGGTACTCAACTATATGGAGGATACGTCTTGGGAATACAATTGTCAAACAGAACGTTACAGTTCATATTTCAGAGCGGTCATAAGGACCGTGATATAGACATTCATTACAGCGTGTCAGAATACAACGCTACATACAACCTGGACGTCCACATCCCCAGGCACGCCCAACGCTTTTTCGGCCGCATGAAGAGAGTATGAGGGTAATCAAAAGGGGTAAAAAAAGGGAATCAAAGATGCGATATCATGCAGATATCAACATTTACAGCTGGCCAGCAGTGTTGAAGTCCTCAAGGGCCTCCTTGACACGCTTGCTCATGGTCTTCTCACCCTCGCGAACCCAGACGCGGGGGTCGAAGTTCTTCTTGTTGGGCTTGTCAGCGCCGTCGGGGTTGCCGACCTGGGACATGAGGTAGTCCTTCTTGTTGAGGACGAAGTCACGGACACCGGTCAGGTAGGCGTACTGCATGTCAGTGTCGACGTTGACCTTGACGACACCGTAGCTGATGGCCTCCTTGAACTCCTCCTTGGAGGAGCCGGAGCCGCCGTGGAAGACGAAGAAGACGGGCTTGTCGGAGGAAGAACCGGTCTGCTCCTTGACGTACTTCTGGTGCTTGGAGAGGAGCTCGGGGTGGAGCTTGACGTTGCCGGGCTTGTAGACACCGTGAACGTTACCGAAGCCAGCGGCAATGGAGAAGTAGGGGCTGATGGCGGCGAGGGTGTTCTGGATAGCCAGGATGTCCTCGGGCTGAGTGTAGAGGGAGTTGTTGTCAACATCCTCGTTGTTGACACCGTCCTCTTCACCACCGGTGATACCGATCTCCTGCAGAAATGGTTAGCATTGTATCAATGTTATAACTCGTTTTTTGAGTTTGACTTACCATCTCGAGCCACTGCTTCATGGGGGCAGCGCGCTTAAGGTAGGCGGCGGTGGTGTTGATGTTGTAGTCGACGGGCTCCTCGGACAGATCAATCATGTGGGAGGAGAAGAGGGGCTCGCCGTGCAGCTTGAAGTAAGCCTCATCGGCATCGAGCATACCATCGAGCCAAGGAAGGAGCTTCTTGGCGCAGTGATCGGTGTGAAGGATGACAGGGATGTCGTAGGCAGGAGAGACGCTACGGATGTAGTGGGCAGCGGCAATGGAACCAGCAATGGAGGCCTTCTGGCCCTCGTTGCTCACACCCTTACCAGCGAAGAAAGCGGCACCACCCTGGGAGACCTGCAGGATAACGGGGCAGTTCTGGTCACGAGCGGCCTCGAGGGAAGCGACAACAGTGGAAGAGGAGGTGACGTTCTGATGATAATTAGTACAAAATTGCACGAAAGGGGGGGGGTAGGGACTCACGATGGCGGGAATGGCAAAGCCCTTCTGCTTGGCGTACTCGAAGAGACGGAGGACATCGTCGCCGACAATGACACCGGACTTGCGGTTAAGTTGCTCAAGGACACCCATTGTGAAGTTTTGTACAAATAAAATTGGTTAGAAATCTGTAGGAGAAAGAAGAAGGAAAGAAGGTCAGATCCAATGGTAAAGTAGTTAAATGTAGTGAAACCAAGCTCCTTTACCGGGAGCTGAAAGCGGGCAGAGTTAAATAAGGAGGAGGGGCAAAAGGTAGAGGGGCAAGCGTCATCGGTGAAGGGAGAGACAAGGTAGACTCACCGGTGGTGGAGATTTAGTGGAACTGGAGTGAGGTCAGTGTGATTTCAAGGAAAAGAGAAAAGAAGAGAGATGAGATGATCTAATATAACCTCTTTATGTATGGCTAATTCTGCTGGTATTCCCGACCTTCCCCGTGATAGCCCGATGCCGTTCGTTTTGAGGTCTTGGGAGCTGTCAAGGAGCTGTCAAAGGGAGCTTCCAAGGGAATTATGAGGGGACTTTTACATCTATATCATGACTTTGCAATGTTAAGTTCTTCATGATCACATACAGAAACACCTATTACAGCTAACAGCTATGATATCTATGAAGACTACATATGTATAGAATAACTTCACCCAGATCCCTAAAAGTGCCCGAGGAATCCGTATTTTGTTCGTGGCGGGGCCGAGGACTTCGAGGCCATTCGCTGCATTTCCATTTTCTATTACTATTTCTATGCTAATAGTCATATTTAGTATTCAACCTGGTTCATACTACTACTAATAGTTGTGTATTCAATTCTTATTGTATTTGCCTTGAATTTAATTCCCAACCATGTAGGATAAGTGTATACTACCAGTGCATATGTAGACATCTGGAGATATGTAGAGGGGTAAGAGGGGTTATGCAGAAAAGTCAAGTGACATCATCCGTATCATGTGCGCCGTTTATCGGAAGTAACTATTTCCCTTTTCCTTCTTCCCTTGTCTATTCGGCTCTAAACCACCTCGGTTTGATTTAATATATCGTTTTAACTTATTTTTAATTTTATTCCCCTCTGTACCCTCTGTGCAGAAGTACGGGGATATGTGTATATACTGGACTCTAATAAAAAAAAAGAAATGAAACTATGCTATCAACGTCCCATGGTAGGGCTCGCATCAGGCTTCTCCAACTCATAGAACAAGAGGTAGACCTCCCTCTGCATGCCCAGCACGTCTGAGGTCTTACATTCCTTGATCTTCTCGTCCGAGATGCGCCACCAGCGATCGTTCGGTTTGCGACGGCGCCGAAGCCGCGAACTGACAGTGGGGGTATCCTGGGAAGGGCGGGGTATGCCGTGGGAGGGACGCGGGGCAGCCGGACTCCAGCGACCCTGGTCCGTCGTCGGGCTGTTGCTATCAGAGACGGGGACAACGTCTGTTTGGAGGAACGCGAGTTGGTGCTCTGGAAAGAACGACGCGAGCCAGAGGTTGTAGGCCGTGGTTGAGGAGGGGTGAGTTGGGTCGCTGAAGCTCCAGATAGCGAGGTTGACGATTCAGCTCTGGAAATGGTTGCGTCGCCCTCGACATCGGGGCTGCTGCGTGGTACGATCCGAGGACTTGGCGCCGCGGAGGGGCTCTGACTAGCAGTGCGACTCTGCGCGTAGGAGCTGAAGACCTCGGGCGTCGAGAACGGCGGGTAGATATGATTCCGTCGGAAGGACTCGTAGTGCCCGCTATGGTGGCTACCTTTATGGCAGACAATTGCAAGTAGCTTGTACCATTTCTGGCTCAAGATGCTTCCCAAAGGGAGCCTCTCCGGGAATGCGACCTTGGCCGCGTTCTTGCTCGAACTGCTTTGATCAAAGATCGACCGCGACAAGTGGATGGCGATGACCTTTGGGAACGCCGTGATGCGCATGTGTCGCGCAATTCTGCGCTTCGGGGCGGTCTCTGACGGAGGGAATACAATACCCTCCAACTCGGCCTCAGGGTCCGTCTCGAGAGCCTCGCGGAGGCGTGAAATCTCCTGGTCCAACCGATCTCGATCACCCTGTGTTCGGGCACGGGCTAGCTCGGTGATCTTGGCTTCCACAGCATGCTGCAGGCGGCATCGGTCGCAACGGAAATCCTCGATATATTCAGTCTTGAGGAGACCGTCGAAGCACGAGTTGAGCGTAGTCGAGCTCTTCTGCGGCACCTGTAGTGTCAAGTTGACGAAAGCCGTCTGATTTGGCTTGTATTGGTAATGGCAGAACTGGCACTCGATCTGCGACTCCATTTTGCCTTCGAACGGGAACCCGGACTCCTGGTCGATTTCCTTCAGTTTCGTGTCGATTATGGCGGGTAGTCCATTGGCCGATCCATCATCGATGCGCACCTCCACCTCGGACGAGCTTTCTTGTGCGCTGCCCTCTTCACCCGCCGAGCTGGAAGCAGCTGCATCAATGGCACCCAGTGCTCGTTGACGCGCGCGTGCACCAGCATGGTACTCATCACAAAGTCGCTCGAGAACAATCTGCAAGAATTCCTGCGCGTCCTGCTGATTGCGGCTGATGCGCGTACGAAACGCGTATTCCAGAGCCTGGATGAAGTCACGGGCCGAGATTGTTTTTTTATAGATCGGACGCTCATTCAAGCGGTCCAACATCTCCTTCAATGCCCGTGTGGTTATGCCCTGTTGCAACTCCCGCAACTTGTCCGACCGCGCCGGCGAAAGTCCATCCTCGCTCGGCAGTGTATGGTATATTTCCGGTCCATCCAGCTCGCGCCGGTGCAGCTCGTGGATCAGGTAGACCCGCAGATCTCCCAACCCGGCCAATGCCTGCAGTACCGAATTGATAAAGCAGTCATTGGCCAGGTTGGACAGGCCCACGATGCTCTTTTTGCGATTGCTGTCGTTTGACTCATCTCCGTCGATTGTGTAGTTCGGCCCAAAGACATAGAACAGAGCAACGGCAGCGAGTGAGGCCCGGCCGCATAGGCGGCGACCGTTGTCGGCTTTTCTTGCATCAAGCGATGTGGTATAGAGGAAGGGAGGCTCGGCGGTTCGTGTAGGTGTCGAAGCAGGCAGACTTATATCTCATTAACCCATTCTCGGATTAGCCCGGATGTAGGTAAGGGCGCTGAAAGTCCTAAGAGAACTGATCACAAGATAAGCCCAGGGCGAGAGAGTCCCAAGGTTGAAAAGCTAACAGATCAATTTTGAGTGTAGAATCGAATAAGTTCGGGGAAGAGGGGAGAAAGGGTGGGAGTGGAGCGCTATGCGATTTATGCGGAGAAACGAGACAATGAGCATTTTCGTCCGGAGCCCGAAAATCAGGTTAGCCACAGTCAAACGGGGCAAACTCCACAATCGTCCCGGCTCAAAAGATGAAGGGCATGAGCACATTCCTGCGTTCGTTCTCGCGTGAGACTCTCATTTTATCCAATGAGGCATTCCTCTTAGCCTGCCGTTGTAGTGGGTTAGACCCCCCGGACGGATTCTCCGGATATGTCTTACGCATTTTCCCGGGGTCGCATATAAGGAGGTTGACCGTGGTTCCACGTAATCTGGGGTAAAGTGAGCCATGTCTTTTCTGGAGGACAAGTTTTGGAATGTCAGGAATGTCATGGACGTTAGAATATCTATCTATCAGAAATATGGCTTAGGCCTCAGACGAATATAAACTTTAGACAAGTCATCTCCGCCACAATGTAAAAGCAACTTGGTTGAAAAACGAATGCAATTATTAGCTCCCCCCACCCCTCAAAAAAAAAAAAACCCCCCTCTTATCTAAGATAAGTATTTTAAACAGCCCTGTTTAACTTGACTGGCTTGTCACACTGATATATGTAGAGCTTCTGCAGAGCTTCTACCGCCGCCCAGGAAGGAACATGGACGATCCATAATACATACATGTAGATACATGTAGGTATATCTCCAGCCCTGGATCATGTCTCGTGTTTGAACTTTCAACTTTTGTACCATTCCTTATCTGGAACTATTTCTATCAAATGCACCTAATTTATCCCCCGCATAGATGCCTACCATCGCAACCGGTTTAGGCCTGAAGCGACTTAGGCAGGGTAGCAACCTTCTCATCGAAGAGCTGCTCAGCCTGCTTCCAGACCCGAGCGTTGGCCCGGTCATTAAGCGTAAGAAGGCTAGGCAGGAGAGCCTCGCTGAACATCTCAGAGCTTTCACGGGGAGGAGAGACGGGAGGTGATCAATGCTGATCACGCTGAGAGGCGGGCCTCCAGCCTCCAGCCCAGAAACGGGGACTGTCGGCTTATCAAAAGTGGTCGTAATGTCGTACAAAGGAATGGGGTTCAAAGGGTTGGAGCTTTTGAGAATTAGCCGTGCGCTCACTACCATAGGTCATATATGGAAACTCACGTGTCGGCGCTGACGTCGCAGATAACAGACAGGGTTCGGTTAGGGGCAGAGAGAGACTCCACGTTCACGAAGGCTAATGCAAAATCAGAATATCAGCCAATTGAGTCGAGACCAGAGCATGTAGGTATATATTTACGTGGAATCTTAGCCGAGAGGTAGATGCAGTTCACGAAGATATCCGCTTCATGTGAGATTTCCTTGAAAGGACCACCTGCAGACGTGGATTTATTAGCTTAGATTTGATTGAAGGGATTGTAGATAGCAATTGACTCACCTCGTGCAGTCTCTGCCATGTCCCACTGAATGATGTTGGCCTCGGGGATACCGACATCCTTGGCCAGCTGCACAGCACCGCTGCCACAGCGTCCGAGCTAAAGCATTGTTAATACGTATATCGCTTTCTGTAGATTTGCGCAAGACTCACAGCTCCAATGACAAGGATCTTAGGTGCCTTGCCAGCGACCTTCTTGCCGGCCTCGAGCGACTCCTTAACAGACTCAACCAGACGGTCTTGGTTGGCATAGGGAACTTCACCAGGCAAGGTCTCGTTGGGGTGCGTCAATTGCCAAGCCCAGTTCTTCACAGCCAAAGCAGATCCTGTTCCACGTCTTAGTATTGATTGTGTCGGCAACGAGCTTCACGTATAAATACCTGCGTAACCGGCGGACCATCCAAAGGCTAGTAAACAAAAGGAGTTAGTCAATTGGGTCAAATACCAGAACACTTTGCGACATGAGCCTTACCAGCAACTCGGCGTCCGGAATCATCGGTCAAGAACTCCAGGTCGAGCAATGTGCCCTTGCCGCGAGGCCAACGGCTAAGGACCTTCTCCCAGCCGCCCTGCTGCTTGAAGCAGTGTGCGAAGGTGACGTGGACGTGCTCCAGAGGGAAGTCATCCTCTCCGGCAACTCCTTGAGACCCAGAATGACGGCATCCTTAGGCGCATCCTGAACCCAAGAGCCCTCTTCGACCAAAGGTGCACCGACCTGTAACAATTGATGATATTTAGAGAGGGTTCGACCTATATTACTGAGTGAATCATACCTTGGAGAATTCCTCATCTATAGAGCGGAATTAGTCATTGAGTCCAACAGCAAGGGATGGGGGGAGTATGGGAAATTGGACATACCATCAAAGATGCGCTGGGTTGACCGCTCAACAGTCACATCATATCCAGCATCAATCAATGCCTTGCAGGTAGTTGGGGTCACTAGATGGTGTATTAGTCAATTGCTTCCCCGCCATTGTAGGTGGGCTGAAGCTACTCACAGGCAGACCGCGCCTCAGCGGGCTTGGTCTCAGCGCGCAGCCAAATCTTTTGTCCAGCCATTTTGAAAGTAGAGAATTAGAATATGATGAAGAAGGAAAAAGAAATCAAACAAATATTAATTGCTCTATCACCAATAATGACACAGACTTTCCCAGTGATAAGCGGGGATGGAAATGGTTATTCCGCTCCGAGAAATGACTCAGTCCCGATTATCGGCCCTGAAAGTCAAACCTCCGCGGGTTTATCCATGGGAGTGTTTAATGTCATTTAAGAAATTGGTACTCTGGGAAAAATCTCTGGCATAGGGATGGATTCCAGAGTAAGGAGTGATAGGGATATATCAACCGGAAGCTATAGGGCAGCGCAGATGACTACCACATACTAGTACGGGAGTACAAACAGTTTCTTTTCTTAAACCGTTATACAAAATCACGAATATACTGCGTGGAACTTCTGCGGTTCTGGATTTTAAATCTTTCCAGCCCAAACTTGGGCCAGGGAAAGGATATTCTCTTATTGCAGCGCCTGTACAGCCACAACCATGGGAAGTTCCGGACATGAATAGACACGATTCAAAGTTGGAGCAAGTATGATGGCATGGCAGTAACATAGCAAACCTGCAAATATAGTGACCGCGGCCTATTTAAGTACCCTTGGTCCGGCTGCGAGTCCGACTACCAATGCCATCTCCTGGGATAACCTTGTTCACGACATCCTTGATCTTCTCCTTCTTGGACCGACTAGCCTTCTTCTGTCCTCCGTTGCCTATGTTGGAGGGAGCAGCAGCGGTGCCATTGGAATCTGTGACAGGCTTGTCTTCTGTCTTCAGCTTCTTGGTATTAGGCTCATCTGACGGTTCAAGCGTTCGTTGCTCATCCTCAGGCTGGGCCGGAGTGGGCGTCACAGTTGAGTCAATGTCACGTTTGTCGCCCGCCACTATTTCACCTTTGGGCCCTACTGGAATCTGCGACTTGCGGGCAACGGGGATACTGCCCTGAGCAGACCCTGCAGGCTCGGTGGTAGTAGGTGGCTCAGTTTCTGGAGCAGGCTTGGGTGCCTCAAGCCCTGCCTCCGCCTTCAGCTGGTCGGTGTCTATATCGGACCTTTCTGCATCGGGAATAGGTGGGCTATCCGTTTCAGTTGTATTTAATCTGTTCTGGAATGCATGCGAGTGTTCTTTGACTAGCTGGGCAGTATCCCGATCTGCTATATCCCTTAGTCAGCGTTTGGCGTGCAGCTGGGCATTTTACAAGTTAAGCAAAGAAACACCGTCCTGCTTCTTGGGGAAAAATAATTGGGACACTTAGACCAATTATTCCTAGGATTCCGCAGTATCGCATGTGCAGATAAACCACATACCTGAAGCTGCATTGTTCTGCATGGGGGCTCCTTCAGTAGCCATTGTGGATCGATGATGTCAGACGCAGGGCAGCGTGTTGTAAAATGGCAAAGATTGAGTGGGAGGGTATTCGCAAAAGCAATGCGACTGCAATTCTTGCTCAGGTAGGTTTGTACGAGGGAAAAAAGAAGCAAAGAGGAGTCGGTTAATTTGGGGGGGTAAAGCGTGAGGTGAGGTCGCGCGGTGACGTATTCGAGGGCCTGGAGACACTACCCCGGCTGATTCGCCGCTCCAGCCCTCTAACTCTCCACGGCATTCTGTCACACAGCCTCAACAGCTCCAGCATTACAATTCGCCCGCAATGTTCTCCACAAGAGGCAACTGTGAGCAGCATAGCTCTGTTCATTGTTAGTAGCTGACCACAAAGGCTGTAAATCTTATCATTAGCTAAGAGACCGGCCTCGGGAGTATAAGATGTTTAGATTGTGATCTTCCATTGAGTCTGACGGCTTGTCTAGGAAACTGGCTGGGCCATTATTGACAATGGGTTATATATATATCAGAAAGAGGAGGGTTTTCGTATATTTGGTACAACGAAGAGGCAAGTTTGAGGATAATTGAAAGTATTCAGGTGCATCACACACCTCCAATAATGCCGGTTTAACCAAGTCATCCGGGGACCCGAATCCTTCATAATGCGACAAGCAATGTATGTGCGACCACTAAGAAAATGATGCTCTAACTCGCAGTGGAGTAGCAGTAGTGGATTCCCTTTGTGTGATGATTCGGAACATGAAGGCTTGTTGAACAGGCTGGAAAGTCCAATTGTGTGATAGAACACAAAAAGGGGAGGAGAATCATATCCTAGCAGTGTGCCGACATGACTGCAGTATTCCCGCCTGTGATCGTCTTGCGGTTGAAAAGACGGATAAATGTGTCTGCCTCTGGAGTGTCGGTGTTGGGTTGGATGCTCTTCAGACACCCTAGCTTTGTACGAGAGTAGAGTGATTGTATATAATAGCTTGAGACCAGAAAATCATGTAAAGCTCCAGTTCAAACGACCGAGATGTTCCTCTTCGGACGATGTGCGTGACTTCGCAGCGACGGGAGTTGCTGGCTCCGGTAGCAGTTCTGAAATATGTTGCTCCAGCCGGGAGATATCACGGAATCTCTTCCGGTCGACCAGGACACGAAGAGCCTCCGAACCAATCTCGAAGAAAGCATCACGCCTAGTTTCATTCCAAGCCTGGAATTTGCTCGGTGAGAGGTTCTCCACGAATTGGAGGAATGGACGTGGATCAGGATTTGTCGGGTGACAGATAGCCACAGATGCTACCAATAAGGACCGAGGAGATAGCACAGAAACCGTATCCTTGAACTGGTCATACACTAATGTTGATACCTGCTCACCCGATGGTTTGTGCTCCATGGCCATACGGCTCAGGTGAGCGCCAGCAGCCAGCAGCATCGGTTTCCTTGACTTATGGGAAGAAGCACTTTGGAAATGCATCTGACATACACTCAGATAATGTGCCATAGCTGAGCCGAAGCCATTTCCAAAGCAGGCTTCTGCATCTATAAAATCAATGAGGAGGTGATTGAAGGTCTGCCGCGCGAGCCCTTCAGTCATTCGGCCATTCTGACTACCTAGGTCATGGCTCATGAGCATCTGCAACCACTTCATGACAGTACCGTGCAATCCCTCTGCCACTATGAACTTGGTCAATGATGTAGTCACTGACCGCAAACGCAGAAGCATTTGTCTCGTTGTCCCATCTGATGCCCAATACCAATCAACGATTCTCGATGCCGCCCGAGATGCACTCATATCGGCCGGGGATCTGGAAAGAAGAAGTTGAGACTTCAGACAATCATTGATTGTGAGAGTAGTGACTGAGCCAGCTGCAGCCATTTGATCAAATACTGCCATGGGTTCTTCGGCTAGTCGTCGCTGGCCCTCGATGCTTTGCAATGTGGTGGGTTCTTGCGAGATGGTTCTGGCTGGAATGATACGGAAAAGAGGATTATCGAGGATGTTCTGCAAATGCTGATCGGTTGCATGCGCTGACGATTCAGGGTTGGAGATGGGTCGGCCATGGTTGTTGCCTGATGCGGGATAAGCCCCATCTAGTTGGCGACGAAAGGAAGATGTGAGGGCATTTAACAATTGCTGCGACTCTCGTGGAGTACGAGGCAAGGGTTGGTGGATTTTAGGCCAGGACTTGAACTGGAAGATGGATGTACCCTTCATGATGGTGAGGAGTCTCAAAAGTCCTCAATATGTTGCAAGGATTGTATATTGTATGTTGATGCATGAAGGTGAAGAGGGAGGATCGACGAGGGCGGTGAAACAAGCCTCTCCCCTTCCAAAGGGCGGAAAAAGGTGAATGACGAGTCGAAGAAACTAAAGCGCACTGAGATGCAACATTTTATGAAAAATTATTTCCATTCAATTAGTAGAATATAATTAAGTATTTATATCTATAAATGCAAGTCTAATATAATTATACTTAAATCAAAATACTTTAAAGATATGTAAAGAAAAGTAAAAGATCCCTTTGTTACTGTAAATTCCCCCCCAGCATCCAATAAGCGCCACTCGCTAAAAGCCAGGCAACGCCAAGACTTGGAGGGAAGCAACTCAGATCCCGTTAGCTTTTGATCCTTTCTTCAATCTTGTCATCTCCTAACGCATTCTCCCTCTCCCCAATTAATCTCTTTGATTTTACCTCTTTCTTTCGTCTCTTCTGGCCCCTGTGCCTGTGGTTCTGGTGCTGTTCCTCTTCTGCGAGGGTGCTCCATTTCAATAGCCTTTCCTTGCGAATCGTGACCTCCTTCCTCTCTCAATACTTCTCCATCTCACACATCTTCATCAATCAACATGTCCGATATTCAGAACCGGTCCTCCGCCTCGCGGGGTAGAGTATCCGCCCGTGGTGGCCGTGGCGGTTTCAGCTCCAGAGGTGGTCGCGGTGGAAACAGATCTGCAAATGACAACTCAGACGTCTCATCTTTTGAAGAGGGCGAAATTGGACAGATGAAGAAGAAGTACTCCGACACTCTCCCAACTCTTAAGGAAATGTTCCCAGACTGGAAGGACGAAGATCTGGTGTTCGCACTAGAAGACTCGAACGGCGAGCTCTTGGAGGCAATTGAGCGCATCAGTGAAGGTCGAGTTCCCGTCAACCCCAATCTTCCTGACTCGAAAACAGTCGAAACCTGTGATTCGAGCACCTTGACTGACCGGCTTTGCAGGTAATGTATCTCAGTGGGGTGAGGTCAAGAAGAAGACCGCAGACCGGACTCGCCCTAAGCCCAAGGAGACCCCGAGTGCCTCGACCGAGACAACTACACCTTCCACTCGTGGAACCCGTGGTCGCGGTGGAATAGAGGGTCGCGGACGTGTTCGTGCAGACCGGGGCCGTGGCGGTCGCGGAGGCCGTGCAGGAGCGGCTACAAATGGAACTCGCGCATCCACTGCTGTAGAGACTTCGGCGCCTACTGCTATACCTGCTACCACGTCCGAGTGGGCTACGCCCAAGGCAGAGGAGACAGTTGGAGACTCTACAGCTGAAGGCGAATGGGAGTCGACCGAGCCTAAGAGCAGTGTGATTCCTGAGGGCACAAAGAAGGGGTGGGCGAGTCTTTTCGCTAAACCGCCCGCTCCTCCGGTGCAAAAGAAGCCCCAAGCCGCTCCCCCTGTTCCCGTCGCCGAGAAGCCCGCCGAGCCTGTCGCCGAGCCATCTCCCCCCGCCCCCGCTCCCGCTCCCGCTCCTGAACCTGTGACTGCACCCGCTACCTCCCAGAAGACACCCGTCGCCAAGCCCACCCATCCCGTCATCCCTGCCATTCCGACCACCACTGTTAACCCTCCTAAGGGCGATTTGACCGAGACGAACCTCGAACAAGTTCCCGATGCATCTGCTCCTGCTCCCACCGCCACCGCCGCAAGCACCATTGGCAGTGGTGTCGACCCCGCGGCTGTGGCCGCAGCCACTGCTACTCCCTCCCGCTTCCCCTCGTCTGCCTACCCCTCCAGCGCTACTAAGCAGGGCCGTACCCCAGGTCTTCAACGCCGCGTGATGGAACAGCAGCAGGCTGTGGTTATGCCCGGCAACCATGCAGTGGACCGTGCTGCCGTTCAGTTCGGTAGCATGGGACTGAACGGTGACGCTATCGATATTGATGAGAACCGCGAGGAGGCCGAGACCCGCGCCCAGCCCCCGCAGCACTCCCCCGTAGCTCCCCGTGCCTCTCTTCCACCCGCGACCCAGGCGCCGCACTCAATGGAGTCTGGTGCCGCTGGCCGTCCTGCTCCTGGTTTGCCTCCGGTTCCCCAAGGCGCTTCCGCCGACTCTTTTACCGACTTCGCTCGTTACTCTGAGCCCCAGCAGAAGCCATTCGATCCCTTCACTCAACCGGTGAGCCAACCGCAGCCGCAGATCCCAGAGCCATTTGCCAACCAGGCCCCTGCTCAGCCCACTGCCACCACCGGCAGCGAATACTCTCCTTTCTATGCTGCCGAGCAGCAGCGTTTCCCCTACTACGCCTCTTATGGCTCTTACGGCCAGTCCCAGGATGCCCCAACCGGTCCCCGTGCCGGAGCTGGGTTTGGCGTCTCTGGCGCTGAGGTTCAGGCTCAGATTCCTTCCACGCAGCCTCCCAACCGCTACGTCCCTGTTGATGCCACCAATAGCGGTCACAACACTCCCAACCCCACCATTCCCGGTGTCACTCAGCAGACTCCCGCTGCTCAGCATATGCCTGGCCAAAGTGCGCAGCAGCACGCCTATGGCTACCAATACCCTAACTACTACACCAACCCTCACTACGCTTCTTACATGAACCAGATGGGCCAGCAGCAGCAACAGCAGCAGTACGGTGGCGGTAACCGCCCCAGGTACGATGATGCTCGCCGGTATGAGGATCACTACATGCAGCAGCAACAGCAGCATAACCAGCAATACGGCTATGGTAGCCAGTACGGTCCCTATGCTGGTAAGGGTGGCATGTACGGCCAGCCCCACGGTGCTTTCTCTTATGACCAACAATCTTCTTCTCCC